CCTATAAAATGTGCCACCTCCAGCCAGTTGGTAAGGACATGCCATTCAGGTCTTTCTTTTTAAATATAAGACATACCATTCAGGTCTTAAAACACTAAGCAACCAGCAATAATATCAAATACATAGAACAAGAACCATAACTATAAACATCTCTACTCCTTGAAAGCTATCAATGGTTCCCAATCGGCAACCCAAAAATCAAGACTTAACATTAACTGAAGTAGGAGAACAAATTAACCAACACAAAAAAGAGCCACGTGATAAAGCAAGAAGGTCGAAAGACACCACACATGACTCTGTCAAAAAAAACTACAAGCAAAAGCCAACATGGTAAAAAGAGAGCAAATACTAAGAAGATTGATGCAAAAGCATTTAAATGCAAATTCCCAGTATAAAACAGATTGTTAGCTATAACTCAGATACATAATTTCTTTATGGCCAATGACAATGAAACACAAATGTCACAAGTTTGATGCAAGACAACAGCTTGTCAAGCTTAACAAAGCCATATCTTCAGCATAGCAATTCAATAACCCTGAACTTTCATGACAGTACCATCATGAGAACTTTAGGATTTGGCAACAGAAAAAAAAAATCAACATAAAATTTTTGCCTTTTAAAGACACTATGTCACTTCCTGAACTTATATTCACCAGTAATCAACACTTTCGAATAATAACAAAGAGGATAATCAAAAACTTACCAGGTGAGGAACTGCAGGCAACAGAGGAAGGAGTTGCAGGAGAGGCACAATCTGCAAAGCTCATAACTCTAGGACTTTTATCGGCCGAGTTTGAACACAGAGAACGTGTTTCTGTATTATGAGTTGAAACCGCAGCTCCATCCTTGTTTATAGTCACATCAGGTCCTTCAACCTTCTTTTTCTCATATTTTGCCAGTCCCTCACCCCAACCAAGGCGAGGCTTCTTCCTAGATGATGTCTCCTCCAATGGAACAGCAGATGTCACACAGGCAGCAACATCCCCTGATGGAGACTGAATAGGGGTAGCATTCTTCACCAGTAACTCAGTTTTTGCCTCACTGGACTCCACACCTCCCAAGCTCTTTGAGCTACTTGAATGACTAAAACCAGAACCCCGAGAAGATAAGCTTCCAGAACGAGTCCATTTAAGAGGCTTCCAGTCCATTGAGCCCAGTGAGTTCTCTCTTTCACATCTCTGCCCTGTTCCCAACCCACTGACACCGCTTAGCTTATTATCATGCTGATCCTTCTCCCATGTGTTTGCAGAATCTGAATGAGGATGAGATTGACATGTTAGTATGTCATCCATTCTCTGATCATTGTTCCCATCATGTGGTCTCCCGAGCGTGCTTGGAGATCCATTGCCTATTTCCCAAGAATGACCTTTCCAATCTCTCTGGTTAGAAGAGCCTCTGTTTTCCCTATTACTCCTGCTGTATTTCCCATCTCCCCGAGACACTGATAGCCGGCAGTTCTCATCTTCAAACATCTTGTCACTGGACCGAGGCGCATGCCCATAAACCCAGTTGTCGTCAGTAAATAGATGCAAACCACCCTGCTTACCATGACCTTCAGAGAATATTTAAAACAAAAAGAAGAACGATATTACAAAAAAGAAGAATTGACACACACAAACTGTATCTTAAAGAACAAATTTTCTGCATGATCATCAACCTCGCATAAGTTCCAGATCTACTCAATAGCCGGAAAATAAACCGAAAAAATCATCATTAACAAAACCCATACCAGATTATCATCCCGTCAACCAGGACCCCCTCATAAAAGAAAAAAAATAGAACATCGATCCTCAGCCTTTAGCGGTTAAAGGAAGGCACATATGATTACAAAATATCCCTATTCAAAAGAAAAGGCCCTGATAACCAGAGAAAGTTGTGCGCAAAATAACATATATTAGCCGACGGAGAAAATCAGACACAAAGAGCTAAGGCAGAGCAAGAAGAAAAAAACTCACCAGGTCTCCGGAAATCTGCGGATCCCCAGCGAGCGAATTCTCGGGACACGTGGTGAGAGGAAGACGACATCGTAGAGGAGTCCCTCCATCTAGCCACGGGACCAAGCGACGACTCTGACCTCTCGTGCTTCCTCTCCTTGGGGAAGTCCTTCCGATCCCAAGGCAATGGTTCAGGCGGCATCAAAATATTCCACTCAATCGCATGAGAACCACAGAGCTTTCAGGAAATGAAACCCTACTCACTTTTTTTCCGTGCCGAAATGAGACAACAAGAGAACAGCCCAAGACGGTCACCAGATCGAACCAAATCCCGTCTTCTCAGTCAAAACACACCTTAACCAGGAAAACAACTCAATCTAGGGCTCCGCCAAGACGCGAAAGCCGGAGAAAAACAGAGCTAAGGACTAAAAGGCACTCTTTCCTAGCGTTTCCTTGCCAAAATGCACCGTGCCGCCCCCCAATCTAGGGTTTCAAGGATGCAGGAAGCGCAAAAATGGATGACCGCCGAAAGAAAAAGAAACAGAACAACCTCATAAACAACTCGTACTTCTCCGTGGTTTACAGAACAGGATCGAGGCAGACAATTGGCGACGCCATGATAAGTTACTTCGAGAGGAGCAGATTGGGTTCTTTATCTTCTTTTCTTCTCTTGCCTACGAAGAAGAACGCAAAATTCTTCTAGTTTTCTCGGCGTTTCTCGGACTATGGATTGTTTGGAGGAAAACCTATGGGACGAGAAAGTGAGAACGTGAGCCGATAAGGGACAAAGAGCGCCTTGAGAGAGAGAGAGAGGAAGAAAGAAAGAGAGAGAGAGAGAGAGAGAGGCCCGTATCTCAACGGCGCTATTAAACCATATTTCAATTTCATTTCACGTCCGCTAAATAAAATATTATTTTTTTAATTTTAATTTTAATTTTTTTAATTTATTTGCTTCTCTCTCTTTTTTACTTTTTTGCCAATCAAGCTTTTTCTTTGCCTATTTGGCCCCTCTTCTATTTAACCAAAAATACCCCTGTTTTTATCTCATATTTACGGCACGAGGGTCGCTTTTCCTCACGCGCCGCTTATCACCTGTTTTTACACATTTACCCTCGGCGAATATAATTAACATTTAATTAATAAATTTATACAGAAAAAAAAATATATATATTATTTTAATTTTAAATTTTACATTTTTCTAATATATATATATAGTAGTTTTAGTCTATTCAAAAAAAAAAAATTACTAATTTTTATTTAAGAAAATCCTAAATTCCTAATTACCTGCAATTTCCAATCCCTAAAAAATAACACTTGATTTTATTTTTAATAGGAACGTGCATTTAATTTCAATAGTTAATTATGTTTTGAAATTTTCAAAATAAACATACTTAATTTGTGGATTAAACTAACCAAACATTTTTAAGTTAATGGATAATCAAATCAACTAAATTAATCTCAAATGAATTTCTCAATTAATTCGTAAATTATTATTTTAGTATATGGTACCATATAAAAGTTATATAATCATAAGTCATATTTTTTACATATTTTTTAATGTACGGTAATTTTATTTACTATATAGTAATTATAATTATTCATGCACGTTGTCAAAATGTTGAGTTACTGCCTTATTTTTATGCCATTGATTGCTCTGTCCAGAACTCGGTGGACACAGATAATAATAACAATCATCACTTGAAATTTCTAATAAGACAACATGGAAAATATATATATATATATATACACACACACGTATGTATGTATATGTATATGTATATGTATATGTATGGGCAATTGTTTTGACAAGGACGATGGTGTAGGAGGATGTAACAACAGCTTATTGGTCTGGACCAGGACCAGCTTTTTTTTTTTTTTTTATGTCAAGGCCTGACCTTGACTTCATTTTGACTTAAGCTTAAGCTTATTCAAATCCAATAATTAAAGGCTTAACTCCTGGTATTAATACTACAGAAGTTTACTTCTATATTTTCCAATATTCTTGCTTGGAGGTTGGACCATGTTATATTTTTATTTATTATTATATATTTATATTAATAAATAACTTTTAAAAAATACAAAAAGTTTATGAAAATTCAATAATAATAATAATATAAATATATATATATATATATATATATATAAGAGTATAGCCTGGTGGCCACTCTACTTTTTATTTATCCTCCTATTTTCTAATTCCAAAATAAGAACATCTCTTTCTTTTTTGTGAAGGGATCAGGAAGAAGCTGATCCCTTTCCTTATCTCACTTGTCACAACATTTTTTGGTATTGTATACATACACATACACATACATATACGTATACACATACATATACGTATACACATACATATATGTAAAGATTTATTTGGCTGATATGATTTATGTATATAATCTATGCTAAATTAAAAAAAAAAATGCATTTGAGTTTTTTATAACAAATAGTTTTGCACTCAAAAGTTATTGGGATGATGATTTTTATGTCTATAATAAATATATGTATTATTTGATTTAATGGGTAATATATATATATGTATATGTGTATGTGTATGTGTATGTATATGTATATGTATATGTATATAAGATAATTTATGGTGTCCTTAAAAAGAATTAATCCATTTCCAAAATTGAAAACATTTGGAGAAGCATACTTATCAACTAACCTAAACTTGCTAAAAATAGAAGTAAAATTACCCAAATATTAATATTAAAAAATAATAAAATTGAAAAATTTAAATTTTTATAAACTTTAAAAAACCGTTCAATTGAAAAAAAAATATTACGTCATCCAAAATGAAGGATAATTTAGTAATTCCAGAGAGTGTACGAGGGCTTTCGGGTAAATTCAGTTTTTCCCGCCTCGAAGATCCACGGACGGGGTCAAAGCCAAAACACGACAATTTTGACGACGTCATCGCAGGGGCTGGGACACGTGCGGAACGGAGACGCGTGTAACACGATCGGGTTTGGCGTGAACTGGGGTCTCCGGACACTCACGCACGTGCGAGTCCGCGCGTGCCGATCTCGCATCTGATTAAATTACGGGCAAACTCGTTCCACCCCGCGAGAAGAGCGCGCAGCGAAGGAAAATTTAGGGCTGACGTGGAGAATCTAATGCGGCATCTTCCCCCTTCTCGTCGGTAGGATCATACGATTCCTTCTTTCGATAATCCACGACTTTTTTGTGATATTACGTTTTTGCCATTGCCGAGGGGGTTCAAAACGACAAACACCTACCAATAAAAATAATTCAATATAACGTCTCTTGTAATATTAATAAATTAATAATTAATTTTAAAACTTAAATTATTATATTCCTAATTTAAGGACCGACCGCATTGAGTCATTAATTTCCTACGTTACACTTTGTTTTTTAACAGTTTATTTTTCGTAATTTAATTATTAAAATTTTAAATAATTTTTAAGTAATTACAAAATAAAATTCCTTAATATTCGTTAAAAGCCACATAATTTTATGAAATAAAATAATAATCGGGTTTATTAATATTTTTATTTTTTAATTATTTTTATTCATTTAAAGTCAAAGTTAAGTTTACTTATTTTTTAATAAAATTAAATATAAATTTTTATTCAGTGCATCACTGGTGTATATATTTACCAACAATATAATACTCTAATAAATTGTATTATATTTAAATATTATAATTTATGAATTATGTAAAATTTATTAATCTATAATATTTAATTTAATAAAATTAATAATTTTATATTCATATTCTTAAAATTATAATAATTAAAGAGTTGAATTTTATTATAAATAAAAAAAATATTACGTGTAGTATTTTAAATTTTTTAAACAAGAAAAAAAATAGAGTGTAAAATACACTAATAGATTGACAAAGGGTAGATGCTTGATGGGGCGGCATACCATTAAAATATATGGAGGTGCACGTTTTTCAAACCCTTGATTTGGCACCCGCTCATCGCTAATCCATTTTGCTGTTGCGGAGTCAGCTATCAGCTATTTCAGGACATGGATTTTTGACTTCATCCCGGCAGCCTAAGTGGGTTGCAAAATCTGGCTTTTGCAAATATATGAAAAGGCCCAATTGAACTAATCGAATGGAGGCCTACTATTAGTAAGAATTGAGGTGGTATGGAAATGTTAACTAGGCCCATTGTTAAGCACAGTAATCACAAGTTAATACCCACAAAAGAAAAATTATATGTAGTTTAATTATAGTTGTTGAACTTGAAAGATTAATATATGTTGTCGAAGAAATCATTGCATTTGTGCTGAGTAAATAAAATATGCATTGAGTTTGAGATGTGCCTTTGAAAATATAAGTGCTTGGAGGTTTTGTAAGCTTGAATCTTGGTAAAAGCTCATGTGGGTAATAATCAATTTGGTAAAATTCATCTGTAAAAAAGCAAAAAGGGGAGGAGGGGAGGGGGCTAAAATTCAATGTTTATGAAAATTAACATTCCCTTTCTGGTCAATCCTCTTTCTCCAATTACAAACCAACATTCCATCTATCATTTTCTCTCCTTTTCTGTTTGTTGTTTGTTTGTTTGTTTGTTTTTTTATTATTTTTTTCCAGTCTCATCCTCGAATTGAGGGGGGAGGTGGAGATATGGAGTTGGAGTATGCAAATGAGTTTCCAATGTCATATTGCTGCCAATCGCTATCAACCACCGCAAATTTCTTCATTTAATTCCTGTCTGCATTTGTTAGTTGGACATGTGGGTCATCCCCTGCCAATCACACTTACGAATCATTAATAATTTTCTATATTTTTCAGATTTTTTACTAATATAATATGATTCAGTCTGTAATGGTAATGAAAAAGTGTCTGTTAAAAATTTTACAGAGCAATTAAAATGAATTTAAACAAGAACCAAAATAATGGAACAGCTTCTTGCACGCATCATTTTCGTAGTATTCTCACCAAAAAATCAGTCTAAAAGCTGTTGAAAACTTTGTTTGTTCTAAACTTTTAACTAATTGTTTAGTAATCAGCTGTCAACTTCACGTCTTCAAGCAAACGCATGTCCATGTGCGCCTCTCACCTGTTCCGTCAAACGCCTGACTGAAGCAAAAGCAAGAAGCAACCCAGAAAAGTTCATGGCTTTTTTGATTAGTCAACAAACCCACCAATTAAATACACCGTTAAGGACAAACTGCGTGGGTTTTGAGCTCCACACTCATGCTCTTCACACCTCATTCTCACAACTAATATCAATCATTAGATCTCGTATTAAATACCCAAATTCCATTCATGTCTATCCTCACATCCTCATTCTTTTTCTCCTAACTCCGGAGATCTTTTGGGATCTGGGTTTTGGTTTGTTTTAGGATTCCTGGTTAAATTCATTGAATACCCACATTTGCTGTTTTTGGGTATTCTTGTTTTTTTCATCCAGCTGTTTGTGGGTTGTAATTTCTTGTGATTCCCTTTCATGGAATTTTCCATTTTGGGTTTAGAATATTTATTTTGAAGACCCAGCAGTAATTTTTTAAGGTGTCTGTACCTGGGTTCTTCTTGTTTTTGTTCTTTATTGATTGATTCCTTGATGGGTAATTCCGCATCTTCTATTTGTTTCATCGTCTTCTTATCGCTTTTACTCTGTATTTGCTTTGCATTTTCTTTTTCTCCTCTGGAAGAACAAGAGAGAGACAGAATTATTGAATTACCTGGGCAGCCAAAGGATGTTGGATTTGCTCAGTACTCGGGTTATGTGACAGTGAATCAACAAGCTGGGAGGGCATTGTTTTACTGGTTGATCGAGTCACCACTGAGTCGTGTACCCGCGTCAAGACCACTGGTCTTGTGGCTCAATGGAGGTCCTGGTTGCTCTTCTGTTGCCTATGGAGCAGCTGAAGAGATTGGACCTTTTCGGATTAGGCCTGATGGGAAGAGCCTTTACTCCAATCCTTATGCTTGGAACAAATGTATGTCACAATTTTATAACAGAGGCAAAATATTGTACCATCCATTTTACTTTTATATTGATTTGTTTTTACAATTTGATGTGTTGTTAGTGGTGAATTTGCTGTTCCTCGAATCTCCAGCCGGTGTTGGCTTCTCATATACGAATACCTCATCAGATTTGTACACATTTGGTGACCGGAGAACAGGTAATTCTTTTACTTTCTTAATTGTCTTGAATGAAGTATTTGTCGTATGTTAATGGCTCATGATTATGTTTGGAACAAAATGCAGAGTTTATGTGGCATTCATTTGTAAATGTACTGAGGAAAAATGCAAATCTATTGCGAGATATAAAATTTGAGTTCATATGAAATTTTGCGTAGGATTGGACTAATGAATTCCAAATTCTATTAGATTTGCAATTCTGTTTTTTAGTTGAGATACTTATATATTTGGTAAGGAACCCATATAAATTTCGGATTTGTTTCAGATATAGTCGAAGTATGTTTCAAATGATGTATGGAATGGTTGATTTTTCTAGATGTTTTTTGGGTCTCTTGGTGTTTGTAAATTTGCAGCTGAAGATTCATATGTGTTTCTTGTCAATTGGTTCGAAAGGTTTCCGCAGTACAAGCATAGAGATTTCTACATTGCTGGAGAAAGTTACGCAGGTATTAAGTTATAGCCTTTTCATCAGTCTTTTGCTTCTGGAAACTTTTATTGGATGCTTAATGTGCTGATTAAAGGGCCAAACTTTGGATAAATGTCTCAGGTCATTATGTTCCTCAGTTGTCACAAATTGTATATGAAAGAAATAAGGGGATTGAGAACCCCATTATTAATTTCAAAGGTTTCTTGGTAAGAATTTATGCCTTAAGAGACATTTTCAATTAGAGTTTTTCCAAGTTCTTGGACTTCTTACGGGCTTCTGTTTTTCTTTTTGCTTCGAGTTAGGTAGGAAATGCTGTTACTGATGACTACCATGATTTCATTGGCACCTTTGAATATTGGTGGACCCATGGTTTGATCTCTGATTCAACCTATCGAAATCTACGTCTTGCCTGTGACTTTGGATCTTCTCAGCATCCTTCATTGGAATGCACGAATGCCCTCAGAGCTGCAGAACTGGAGCAAGGAAATATTGATCCATATAGCATCTTCACACCACCTTGCAATGACACTGCATCATTGAGGCACAACCTAAGGGGTCATTATGTAAGCTTTCTTGAATCGTTTTGTTTACTAACAAGTTGATTTAAGGTTCTCAGTAATTGTCAATAGTAAAAAAAGTAAATAGAATATAGACATGAAATGGTGAGACGTTTCATGTCTGAATTGAAATTCTCTGCAGTCTGATGTGATGTCCCTCTCGTGAAAGGGGCTTGTCATTGTAATTTTTTGTTTGTTTCTGAGTTTTCAGCAGGCTTTGGCACTTCAATCATTAGGCTTCTGATATTGAATCTGGGGAGCTATTTGGAAATATAGTTGAAAAGCTATGATCTGGGTTAACATGTAATGAAATATGACATTCTCACAACATTTAAATACGAGTCAAGTGATAATTTTTCCTTAGAAACACTATTAGAAACAACTTGTCCATAGAAACAACAGCAAGTGTTAGATAAATATGCATATTTTGTTGTACCTGTTAGACTCCTAGAATGATTTTTTGGGGAAAAATGAATCTGAGGTTAGTTGAGAATGCTGGTAGTTCACGCATATTTACACGAAAATAATCTCATATTTTCCTTTTACGAAAATAAACTTGAATAATGTTGGCTTCCACAAAATTTTAGAAATATCTTTATGTTTGGTCTCCAAATGGGGCTTGGCATTCAATTTGTGGGCTCAACTTGGTTACTCATGTTGAGTTTGAAGCTGTTGGGGACCCTCAAGAGTTAAGTGACATATCGGTATTATCTGAATGCTGGTTTGCCTTTTCTGTTAACATGCTTGTGGCCCACTCATTTAAAAAAAATGCAGAAGGTATAAATTGGCATGGGTCAACTAGAAAAATGTTTTTCAATGAGTAATGCCAAACACATGGTATTGTGTAAAATTTTGGTGTGGTAAATTAAAAGAAGCTTGCAAAAGGAGGAAAAAGGAGGAATATTCTTCAACTCTTTATAGTTCTGTTTAAAATTTTGTGCTAGGTCCAAATTAATTTTGTATATTTCAAACACATATACGATACAATTTTGCATAAATCTGAAATGGAAATACTATTAGAAATTTGCATTTTGATTTAGATGCTTGAATTTGTTTGTTTCATCCCCTGCCCGGTCTCCCTAGCCAGAAGAAGATAAGAAAGTAAAAAGAGCTGCTAGATTCGACTTGCACATGCCATGTAATTTTATTTTACTATCTCGAAATAAGATCCTTTTGTTGCCTTGTAACATCATTCCTCTCAAAACCGTTTTTATTTGTTTATTTCTTTTTTTTTTTTGAGCTAACTCTTACTTTAAAATTCAGCCATGGATGTCCAGAGCATATGATCCTTGCACTGAGAGATATTCGAATGTGTATTTCAATCTCCCAGAAGTTCAGAAGGCATTCCATGCAAATGTAACTGGAATTTCTTACCCATGGAAAGCATGCAGGTAAGTTTTTTCTTAGGAAGTTCTAGATATTCTTAACATTACTAGTTTCTTGCCTTTGATTTTATCAAATCTCTATCTTTTGCAGTGATATTGTTGGAGATTACTGGGCAGATTCTCCGCTCTCTATGCTTCCTATATACCGAGAACTCATTGCTGCTGGCATTAGGATATGGGTATTCAGGTAATTCTGCACAGACTCATTCCTTAATACCTTCCTAGTTTCTCCAATGTGTTGGTGAATTTGTTGAAGTTAGAAAATTTTCTCATTGAACAAGTTGACTTCCTGAAGCAAAGTCTATAGTTTACTGCTCTGCACCTTACCCACTAACACCTCTTCAGTCCTCCATAATAGCTGGTTTTCAGGGTGCATTCTGTTTGTAATGCATGGAGTATCTATGATATATGTCACGTGGAGTGTCTTTGATATGTATCGTGTTTACAAGAAAATGACATAATAGTTCCTTGATTAGACTCGAAAAAAGTCAACTTAGCCTAAATACATTGCCATTTATTAGTATCTTTTAAAGACCTTCTAATAACAACCAGAAAAAGATAATATCAAAATGATAAGGATTAAAATCAGAAGGTAAATGTCAAGAAGCTGGTGGTGTCCTACAGAAGAAGGGGTAAAAAGGAAAATGCATACATCAGCCACATCTCTATGAATGAAATCATCAAGAAAATCTATTTACCTCAAGCAAATCTATGTCTCCATTTCTCTATTATCTCTCTCTTTCTTCCCAGATTGGAGCCACGAGTAAGGTTTCTGACAGTAAATTTCTTTAATTGAGCCTATAATCTCCTTAATGGAACTCATATTACCTTAATTATCCTAAGTAATTTAAAAACAAATACAACTAACAAAATTACATAATTATTAGATCCACTTCAGAAGAAGTCATGCTCAGTGCTCATCCATTTTGTCAAACTAATATTATTCTGTTATGACTTACTGTAGGTTTTGTCAGACATTTTTGGCTATGCTTTTTCTTCTGAAAATCTTTCTGATTGATCTCTTTGTGCAGTGGAGACACTGATGCAGTGGTTCCTGTAACTGCAACTCGATACTCAATTGATGCCCTCAACTTACCAACTATCACCAACTGGTACCCGTGGTATGACAACGGAAAGGTAAATGTTGGTTAAAGATATGTTCTTTATAACTTTCCACAACGACATACTATGAAATGGTAATGAAAATATAATACAAATGCGATAAAGATTCGATTTCTCGTTCGATTTAAATTAGACGATCTTTATTCTTCTCTTTACAAGTGAAGCTAGAATTTGAATTGGATCGAAATAAGCTGTTATTGCGATAATCTCTTCACAAGAATTGTTCTCCTACGATGCAGGTTGGCGGGTGGAGCCAAGTATATAAAGGCCTAACTTTTGTATCAGTAACCGGAGCAGGACACGAAGTTCCCCTCCACCGGCCGCGACAAGCTTTCATTCTTTTCAGATCATTTCTCGAGAACAAGCCAATGCCAAAATAAATCCATTTAAACTTATTTGATGAATAATTGGGAGGTCAGGTAGAAACCATTCATGTATAGTAGTATATATCCATTGCTGGGGTGGAGAGAAAGGAAAAAGAAGCATTTCTTCTCTGCCCCTGTGGCATGATTTCTGAACTTACAGTTGCCTTTTGCTTTCTGGGTACAGTCTGTTTTAGTGAAAAGGATGAGGTGAGATTGAACTCTTGAAGTAAAACCATTACAATCTGAAAAGAGATTTGTAGAATACATTTGCATACAGTTCATTCTTTAATGGGGTTTCAATAAGTGATTGGTCTCTGTTTCTTGTATTTATGAAGAATTATTATTTCTAGAAAAAGTTCAAATTGTGGGAAAAATTCAGTCTTAGATTCTTGATTTTATTGCTTTATTTATATAATATTTCTGAAATATCGAATTACTAATTGCAGTTTATAGTAAATTAATTTAAAATATAATCGTATTATTTATTTATTTTTAATTTTTTAAAAATTATATAAAATATTTAAATAAATATTAAAAATAATTTAAAAATTTTTAGCGTTAGTCGTAAAATTTTTTATAAAATATTTAAAAGTAATTTAAAATTTTTAAAGAAAATGAAGTATAATTTATATATTATATTTTATTTTAAAAAATAACTAAAAATTTAAACTATATATTTTTAGAGAAATGACGAAATCATTGAATAATCTTTTTATAAAGCTCTATTTATTTATTTAGGTTTGTGGATGTTATATATATATATATATGTAAAGATGCCTTCGTGAATAGGAAATGATCGGCCCAAAAGTCTCTTTGACTATCTTGAAAATCAAGAAAATGTTATAAAAAATATATAATAAGATTTAATATATAGAATTAAACACATATATATATATATATACGTATGGGTGTTTTCACTTTTTTTATTTATAAATATTTCAACGATTTTCGATCAGGGCAAGTTGTTTAATTTGAGGTCGTCCCACTAATACGAGGCGTCAGATTGTTCGACTTTCCCTCGATGAAAGTCAAGATGCGTTTGGTCAAACCAACATGCGGCGGATATTCATCTATCTTCCTTGCCTTGATCAGTAGACCAATCTCACTCTCTCTCTCACACACACACGCGCACATACATGTATATGCATATACCATATGATAAAATATAATTTTAGTAATTTTATTATTTATTAATTCATATTAAATGTCACGTGATTTGAACTAATATAACATTAAAAAACAAATTATTATATATAATTTATTCAGTTTATATCTGATATAAATCAACAATATTTTAAATTACAGAAAAAATCAATATAAAATATAATCTTATTACTATAAGGATAATTAGATATAGTTTATGATTTATTTCAAACATACAAAATAGTTAACGTTTTTAATAATTATTTGATTTGTTCGGTGGATTACAATTTTTAAAAAATAACCGAAAACGTAGAGTTTGTTATTTCGTGATTGTACTATTAATTGACAGTGATTAATTTATAATATTTAATTTAGTAAAATTAATTTAATTTAATAATGTATTAGTTGCAATTACATTGATTAAATAAATTTATTATATTTTTTTATGTAAAAAAAATATTTTATGATAATTAATTTATTTTAATTTGA